CCAAAAGGGGGGGGGCATGGATCCCCTCATTCATCAACTCTCTCTCTAACTAACTCATTATAACACTCTCTAACTAACTCATTAACTCTCTCTAACTAACTCATTAACTCTCTCTAACTAACTCATTAACTCTCTTTAACTAACTCATTAACTCTCTTTAACTAACTCAATAACTATCTCTAAATAACTCATTAACTCTCTCTAACTCGCTAACAGCATCGAAATACGCGCGCGATCATTGGTGGGGGGGAGGAATTCGTCCGTCGTAAACAATAGTAGTAATAATAACACACTGCTATATACAGAGATTTGCCGCAAGATCGAAGACTCTTAGGAGATATCGTGGATCACACTTCGTAACATCCGGGTCACAATCGATTCGCGGTTCAAAGCTGTTCCGCCTCAACCGCCAGAAACCAGGATTTACGCGTGACTACGGGTAAAAGTAATTTTTGCTCACTCTCGGCACGCATAATCTAATTAACAAGTTAATAACATCTAAATTAATCTTAATCTTAATTAACAATCAAATTAACGCATAATATGACATTGCTTACGCAGCCATATATCGCGAGTTGCTGTATAGATCCCACGAAGTCGGGATGAAGAGGGTGATATACACAGTGCCATGTATATACAGTTCTGTAGTTCGCATCGCGTGTATGCGTAAGGGCTGCTCATACTCCCCAAATCATGCAATGCTGGATAATGTTCGGCACCAGGCATGTATTTACACGAACCTATGCAAAACGACGGTGTAAAGAGACATGGGGCGCCATCCCCAGGCGTGCTACAACAAATAACAGTCGGGTTATAGCTGAGTTGTTTACAATTCCCATCGCTCTGCGGCCTGCTTGCTGAGACTCCTATGGTGGTTTTACCGCAGCACGTATATATTTACTAACATGCAGCTTCTTTTCGACGGATTTCCCTAAATCCTAACGCAGACGATTACGAGTAGCAGGCCAAGTGTAGACTAGAAAAACAGCTGCTATGGTACGCCGCAGTGTCTATACGTAGAGACAGGGTTGTAATTATGTACAGCTGTTCGCATTATGCGTTCAGTTTCTTCGTTTGAATGTTTTTGGGAAGCTATGAATAGCTGTGTATTCTGCGGATATTGTCTGCGTGGTGAGGAAGCCGCGTGAAGATAATAATCGTTAGTATAAATAAGTACGATACGATATTTGATAAGTTGATTTCACAGATTTGTTCGAATCTGCATGGCTGTAAAACTCAGGTTACAAGCTTTAAAAACGCTGGGCCGTTGAGCTGCGGTTGGTGTAGCGTATCCAACCTTTTTTCCCGAGAATATATCATATATAAATTAAATACATATATGGAACATGAGTCTCAAACAAGGGAAGCACAATATGACGATGTTTTCGCTCCAAAAAGATGTTTATATACTTCTTCATGTAAGCTTTTTTTATACACACCATCTAAAAAATCTGGAACTTGAGAGGTGATGAGAGAACAAGCTAAGACCTATCTGTGTACATCAACCATTTTTTATAAGAATGTAAATAAGATGCCAGTATCGTGCTGCAATCAGCCATGTAATTTCACGCCCTCTTGCGCATGCTTCAGGCGTGCATGCATATGAGTTTACTTTACTTTACGTTTTTTTAATGTACAAAAATTAATCCATTGGTTATAAGACGTTATAAGGATTAATGACGGCAGACTCGGGGGAACACGCCTTCCTTTCATCAAATGATTTTTTGTCTGTATGGCTTCCTATCAGTGTGATTATTATGTCGTCTGTATACGTTATCACACGTGTTAGATCCGCTGCTGTCATGAACTTGGCCTAGGGCCGTCTGGGTGAATATAATATAAACCCTTTATTTGTATTTTTACCACGTTTGTTGAGAAGGTTGTCTGTTTTTAATCACAAACTGTTTGAGCTTTTTGATCATGTATTTAACATATATTATTACGATAAATACTAGCGATAGTATATATATATATATATATAATAAATAATAAATAATAATATAATATAATATATTTAAGAAAATCTAATGGCTATATATATATAATTATATATATTAAATATATGTGAAATTTAATCAGCCCTCATGCTCTCGCGCAAGCAAGTAAAAGTAACAAAAGTAAAAGTAAAGAAAGCCAGCACGCACGCACGCACGCACGCACACACACGCACGCACGCATGCGATCACACACAGGACGTAACACAGTGCAATGTACCACACGACATCACACGATATAACACACGCTGTAGACATAACAGCGACACTTCGCGGCTCGTAGTGAACATGTACTGATATAGTATAATACCTATATATATATATATATATATCATAAGTAGCATAATAGGGAATCTATTTCTACTTCTATTCCTATTATCTACTTCTGTATATATATATATATATATATATATATATATATAAATATATTATATATATATACGGAAGACACGGGTTGTTTGAACGAGGCTATCAATAACGTTCGAAAAACTATTGTTCATTCCAAACGCACGCGATATTTAAAGTAATTACGTCACCGTAAATAGTAAAAGTAAAGAAAATATTTCCACTTTTTCACAAAATGTAAGTAGTTCTGTTTACTTTTTATGGTTAAATTTCTGCACTATACTTCCTATTTTACTATATTGTTCAATGTAAACATACGCTCGTGACTCATAACAAGCAATTAATGTCAGGATCATATTTATCAAATCGTCCAGGTTTTTTGGATTTTAACTAGTTGAGAAACAATCTTATCGGGTAACAATTTGACGATACGTTTAGTCCCATTAGTACTTACTTTTAATGTAAAAAATGGCAACAAAATGTTTACAAATATCACCATAGAAAATTCGTGACGTATAATCAATATAAACAAACACGCTATTTACAATGCATCTCACCGCTCACGCCCGTAGCAGCAGTGCGTATAGGGCATGGATTGGAATAGCTCTAGAACTCCCTTCGCTCTGCCACGGGCTATGGTTCTAGAGCTAGCATAGGAATAACGGGGCAGACGCAAGACACGAGGGCACAGTTACTTACAATACAAAAACATCGTAACTCCACACGCCAATGATTAGTACTATTATACTGCATGGGTAAAGTTATTGCAAAGACTAATATTGCGGCTAAAATGCTTGACTAAACGCCCCCCTGGGTCGGGCGCACGCTATGCATGGTTCCATGGTGCCATGTAACATACGCTGAGTTAGACGAAGGATGCATGCATTAGCAACCCGTGCGTGCTGATTTAAACAATACGGTGCAAGTTCTCTATGAAGATATATATATATATATATATATATTATATATATATATATATATATTATATCAGGAGGCGTATATTTGACAAATATTTGTCATTATACCTCGCTTGATGTATATATATATATATATAATATAAATATAGTGCATTATATCGAGAGTATCGGTAGATAGAACACAACACACGCACGCGCACGCCTGTGCGCATATTTCGTGTATGTCGTGCGTGTGTTCGTGTATGTGTGCGTGCGTGTTGTTCGTGTATGTGTGCGTGCGTGTGTTCGTGTATGTGTGCGTGCGCATTTCGTGTATGTGTGCGTGCGCATGTTCGTGTATTGGTGCGTGCGTGTGTTCCGTGTATCTGTGCGTGCGCGATGTTCGTGTATGTGTGCGTGCGTGTGTTCGTGTATGTGTGGCGTGCGTTTGTTTCGTGTATGTGTGCGTGCTTTTGTGTTTATCCTAGAAATTTGAATCTAATCCTTGATCAGTATCCGTGCAGTGTGTTGATTAATATCTTAATCAGAATGTAAAGTAAATAAGATATACAACGCAATGAACCTCTCCAAACAAAGTAAGCCATATGATATTGGTATAGGGCGCTGTACACTGATTGTATTCATAATAAAAAATGTTTAACAAAATTGCAGTCATGCGCATCAAATATGACGATATCTACGTACGAGTTTATAGCAGCTCCACCCACGCCATACACCTCATGCATCGTCATTTATTCACAACCCCTTTTATGCGCCCTCGTCTGTTCCATCACTCTCTCTCTCTCTCTCTCTCGCTCTCTCTCATCTCTCTTCTCTCTCTCTCTCTCGTCTCTCTCTCGTCTCTTCTCTCTCTCTCTCTCTCTCTCTCTCTCTTCTTGCTCTCTCACGTTTCTCTATCTCCCATCCTCTCTCCTCTCTCTCTCTCTCTCTCTCTCTCTCCTCTCTCTCTCTCCTGCTCTCGATCTCTATCTATATATATTTATTTATTTATATCTATCATCTATCTATCTATCTATCTATCTATCTATCTATCTATCTATCTATCTCTCCCTTTATCCTTGATACTACCGGAGTAGTGATATGCCCCAATCAGAAGTACTTTTATGTACTGCATACAGTACTCGCCATATTGACCATTGACACAATTTCAAAATGACGAGTGGCGCAGATGAATAAATCATAGAAAATCCTCTTCTTCTGCGCAGCAGTGGTTGTCCCGGTGGATTTTCTCCCGCCAGGCGTTTTATTCGTTTGTGTTTCCGAATTGCTTGATCAACATGGAAGCAGCTATACTGCCCCGATTCCAATCATCCTCCCATCGTGCATAATAGCTGACAGCGAGCGAAATTTATTCAGGAGATAACTTGCGCCAATAGAACACGCGCGGTTGTCGTTTGCCCTAGTAAATGCCTAGATATGTGCTTAGAGGGCGTGGTACATGTATCATCAGGAGAGAATAATAATAGATAATATGATTATTGACGGTGGCCTATATGAACAAAACACAAGTACGCAGGTTCGCATGTTGGCGAACATATAAAGTTCGAGACGAAGGCCAAAATAATTTCAAGACAAACACATTTACGGACGCCAACTCCAACTTCATTTGAACGCAACACATGTTCGCAAGTACGCAAGTAAACAAGTTGGCAAAGCAACTAATTATAGAAGCAAATACACGTTTTACACGTTTACAAGTTCATACACCCCCCCCCCCATTCACACCACCGCCACCCACCAATTTCCGTTTTTCAACTTGCTGTTTGTTCGCGTACTTGTGTTTGCGTACATGCGTGCTTGCGTGCTTGTGTTTTGTTCGTATGGGCCACCGTAATGATTCACTCCTGGTATCATCAATTTTCTAATGTTTTGAAGACATCTTGAGCGGCTTTTCGCCGACGAGCAATTAAGCTAGTTGATAAATACTAATAATTACACTAGTGTCTTACTAATTATGATTTGAAGTACCAGCTTCAAATACCTGAAAAAGTAATATGTTTCTATTCTAGATGTATGACGTGAGGACAGATGTGTGACATGTATACAGACCAAAGGGCTGTTGTCAGAAACAGGTTATATACATAGGTATGACATCATAAATGTAAAATATCATAGCTTTTGCGCACCAGTTTACGTGCGAAAACATTTTACGACATTTTATACTTATATTAGTAAAAATTTCTTTATTATTTAACTACTTTAAAACTTATATTAGTCACAAGTATTTGTGATGTTTCTGACAACGGGCCCCTGAAATCGCTCGACGAAGTCATAGGAATATACGGTTTCGATGGATGGATGGATGGATGGATGGATGGGTGGGTCGATGGGTGGGTGGGTGGATGGATGGATGCGTAGCTTGCACATGACATGCTCTACATCATTAAATATAACAACGCAGTTATGGATCTCAAAAGTTGGGCACGCAACAAATTGAATTCTCGCCCAACTCTATGAATGTTATCAACTTTCAACTGTTATGATTAAACTGTGAAGTTATTATTAAATGTTTCTTTTGCGAACCATCCCTGATGTTCTATGGAAATTGCAATATCTCAAAATTCTGAAAGGCGCAAATTATCGAGCTAGCTCTTCATATTCGCACCAATAAATTTATGTAAATTCATAGCCCAATTTCTAGAGCGCATTTTGTAGCGTTTATGAACTCTCTGATGTATTTTGTTACTCGCTACTCTTATATAAGTATAAGCGATAACTCCGTATAACCGGTGGTAGTTTCAAAACGAGCGCGTGGCAAGAATATATCACACTGCTGTCGTTCTTACTACTGGCAGTCTCGCGCTATCTCGCGAGAGCTCCGAATGCACACGCGTCGGTTGCACGGTCGATGGCGGCTCGCTGAAGAAGTAGCAGTGACTCGAGTCACGGCGCTTCTGCCAGAGCGCTGGGTTGCCCGAGCGGAAATGCTCCCGGTTTACGAACTCGTCGTAGTACCACTCGAGTCGGGCATTGTCCTCTTCCTGGCGTATGTACTTCACCATCAATATAATGATGCTGAGCGCGTAGAAGAGTATGACGATGACGATGTAAGTGAACGCCGACATATCGTCGTCGGTTTGTTTCGTTTCCCCGCAACAGATGGCGTTGATCAACTCCGTGATGTTGTTGCAGTTTACGCCGCCAGGTTGCAGCACGGTAGCGGCAGACGATAGTAGGTCTGCAGCGCTCGTGTCGGCGTTGATTGATGTCAGAGTCACCGTCGGAGACATGTCGCAATTTCCTATGCTGTCGTAGACTTGATCTGCTTCGAGTTTATATCAAGCAGCATTCGGAGATTTGTCGAGCAGAAACTTCCTGAAAAGAAACCGGACGCCGTTAACAAACCGATTAGAAATAAGTGATAGACGTGTAACCATATAAGGGAGATAACGCAATAGCTCAAACCGGTTTAAAAAAAATCTACTTATTTTACGTCTAAACTCGGGTTTAACGTATTGATTCCCGGTGTTACTGTGAAGAAACGGGGACGCGATACGTGTTTAAATTAGCAATGGTGCTTAAAGATTTTAGAGATTAATTTTGAGAGAGAGAGAGCGAGGGGGGAGAGAGAAAGAGAAAGAGAAAGAGAGAGAGAGAGAGAGAGAGAGAGAGAGAGAGAACGAGAGAGAGAGGAGAACGAGAGAGAGAGAAAGGGTGTAAGAGAGAGAGAGAGGAGGAGAGAGAGAAGAGAGGAGAGAAGGAGGGATAAGAGAGAGAGAGAGAGAAAGAAGGAGAGAGAGAGAGCGGGGAGAACGAGAAGAGAGAGAAGAGGAGCAGAGAGAGGAGGAGAGAGAGAGGGATTTGTTTACAATAGACGTCTTCCATGCCATAAGTATGTGTGTGGGGGGATGACTCATCAATCGGTATATTTGGATATAAGTCTGTTCCGGCCCTCTTTATACCTATATGCAGGAATGCGTTTACATAGTAACGCGTATGTGTAGATGACACAGCGACAAATATATATGCAGGCAAGCACATGTTTCAGCTGAAGGATGGCTGAAATACCTTGCATAAGGTAATATCTGTGCGAATAACCACGATGACTGGCGATAATTTACTACTTGCTATAATTATAATGACGGTATATTCATATGATTGCATTAATTATGTGTATGCTTTATAGGCCACGTCGGCGGGGCACCTGCCTTTTCACTTCTAATGTAAAACACTCAACATTATATCAATGTGATTCTGATCGCTAGGCAAATTTCAGCGCCACAAATTAGCTGGGTTTTTAATGTTATCGGGGTACACCCGATATAGCTAGATTTATTGGTGGGGGGGGAATGGATTGCGATGCAGGTTCTTTATTCATAAGAGCCGGTCATCGTTCACGTTTATATTATATAACGAACAATGTAATTAGATCGCATATTTGCTCATTAGCACCCGCATATCCCCATTCTTTCTCTCTCTGTCTTTCTCTTTCTATAATTATAGACAGAGCGAGGATAAACAACATAACAACAAACACACCACAACACAGCACAACACAGAAAACAACACACACACACACACACATCACAACACACACACACACACACACACAACACACACCAGAGTAACACACACCCACACACACACAACCCACATGAGACACACCAAACACACCACACGTCACACACACCAGCACAGGTCACACACACACACCACACACACACAATATATATACGTATATATATATATATATATATATATATATATATATGTATGATGGTGTTGGTGATTGGATGGAAATGGCATGGATGGATGGATGGATGGGGAGGATGGATGGATGGATGGATGGATGGATGGATGTTGGATGGATGGATGGATGGATGGATGGTTTATGGATGGATTGGATGGATGATGCATGGAGGATGGATGGATGGATGGATGGATGGATGGATTGGATGCGATGCGATGGATGATGGTCATGGATGGATGGATGGCATGGATGGATGGATGGATGGATGGACTGATGGATGGATGGATGATGGAGGATGGAATGGAGGATGGATGCGATGGATGAGATGGTAATGGATGGATGAGTGATGTGATGGACGGATGGATTGGATGTGATGATGTAGTATGGATGGATGGATGGTATGGATGGATGGTAGATGGCTGATGGATGGATGGGTTATGGATGGCATGGATGGATGGATGGAATGATGGATGGATGGATGGATGGATGGATGGATGGATGGATGGATGGATGGATGGATTGGCATGAGTGGATGGTGGATGGATGGATTGATGGATGATGGATGGATGGATGGATGGAGCGAATGGATGGATGTGGATGATGGATGGATGGAATGCGATGGATGGATGGATGGCATGGATGGATGGATGGATGATGGATGGATGATGGTGGATGGATGGATGGAATGGATGGATGGATGGATGGATGGATGGATGGATGGATGAATGGAAGATGGATGGATGGGATGTAATGGATGGATGGATGGTGGCATGGATGGATGGCAAGGGGTGGATGGGTGGCATGGATGGATGGATGTGGATGGAGTGGATGGATGGATATGGATGGATGGATGGCAATGGATGGATGGTATGGTGGATGGATGATGGGTGGATGGCATGAATGGATGACATGGATGGATGGATAGATGGATTAGATGGATGAATGGATGGGTGGATGGGTGGGCTGTGATGGTTGGATGGTGGGCGGCATGGGTGAATGGGTGGGTGGATGGAGTGGATGGGTGGAATGGATAGAATGGGTGGATAGATAGATGGGTTGATGGATGGATGAGATGAATGGATGGATGGATGGATGGATGGATGGGATGGATGGGATGGATGGATTGGATGGATGGATGGATGGTATGGATGGATGGATGGATGATGATAGGTGATGGATGGATGGTGGATGGATGGATGGATGGATGGGTGGAATGGGTGGATGGAAATGGATGGATGGATGGAATGGATAGATGGATGGGTGGATGGATGAATGCATGAATGGTATGGATGGATAGATGATGAATAGATGCGGTGGATGGGTGGCGTTGGATGGTTGGATGGTGGGACGGGATGGGTGGATTGGGTGGGTGGATGCGGTGGATGGGTGGATGGGTGGCATGGATGGGTGGCATGGATTAGAATGGGTGGATAGATAGATGGGTTGATGGATAGATGGGTGGATAGTAGATGGATATATCTATATCTATATATATCTATATATATATATAGATAGATAGATATATATATAGATAGATAGATAGATAGATAGATAGATAGATAGATAGATAGATAGATAGATTAGATAGATAGATAGATAGATAGATAGATAGATAGATAGATAGATAGATAGATAGATAGATAGATAGATAGATAGATAGATAGATAGATAGATAGATAGATAGATAGATAGATAGATTAGATAGAAGATAATAGATAGATACGATAGATAGATATGCTGCGACACCACCTATTGATTAGCCAGCAGTAAATAGAAACTTCGTTGTTATTCACTCCTGATTTAGGCTTTGCATACTAGCCACGACGCTGACACATATCCACAGGGCCTCTAACGACAAAGCGCAAACTACCGATCCGTCGCGGCGTGAATTATGAGAGACGTGCCTTGCCTAGCCATGTACATACTCACGCACCCCACCCCCTCCTCCGCTTCCGTGGAACACAGGTTTCGCGTGTTTGAGGCGGTCGAATGTGGGCTAGTGCATCATGTGCGCGTAACGTGGTCGTAATGGTAGACAAACTAACGAATTCTGCATTTATCGCGGAGGCTGCTGGCGGTGTAATAAATAAACAGCAGAGTGGTGGTGTAATCGTCTGCACGGCCCGCCACCGCAGTCATCAGTACGACCTCGATGCTCACGAGATCGTATCGCGTATGTTTGACTCTGAGTATTAGGCGGCCTAGTTTCCAAGACGCTGATGTCTCTCGAGATATCAACATGTTCTGCTTGCATATATGACAAGTACGACATACGCATATACGCTCTCCTATGACACTATTTGTCATAGGAAGATTCTTCCTATGACAAATATTGGCGACGAGTCAACTTCGTTCCGCTTTACAGCTGAAATTCACTGCTTGCGTTCATAATAGCGCTCCTAAACTCCTATGATGCGCACAACACATATGCCTACAACAATATTTGTCATGGGAAGAATCTTCCTATGACAAATAGTGTCATAGGAGAGCGTATATGGGAGAAAGAAATACCGAACGATCAAACCAATACATGCCGATACAAAAATATACACGTTACATATAAACGAATTGAATGACGACAATTGATGCAACCCCACGCTGCAAAATACACTACACAGTTACAACAAACTACGCAATAACTGAAACGTAATTGAAATCTGGTTAACTCACAGATCATTGGAAACTAGAGTATAACTAGTTTCCATGTACGTGTGTTTTTGCTGTTCATTGACAATACTGTACCACGTATAGTGACGTCCGCATGTAATAGCTGACTGAGAGCGAAACTACATAGGCATATAGCTACTCAATCTAAATTAAGCCAACGTCTGTTATAGACGTTGATTAATTATATCAAGAGTACTTAATAGAGATCTCTATTATGTACACTTGATTATATCTACATCGTTTCTATTTTGTATCGCAGTGAGCTATTCGCGGGAAGCTGTTATGTGATGTACGGTCACCTTTGTCGGAAATAAGCCATACCCGCGACTAAGCTAGCCGTCTATAACATTTCATGTTTATAAAAACGTCACTTTTAGCTCTGAAATGTATATATTATATATATATATATATATATATATGGAGAGAGAACGAGAGAGAGAGAGAGAGAGACATTGAGAGAGAGGGAGGTGAGCGAGAGGGAGAGGGATGGAGAAAAGAATCAGACGCGGTGCTATTTCACACGCAAGGCGATCTGGCAGACGGTGCTACGAGCAACTAACAATAGATGAAATAGGGGATTTCCCATATTATATCCACCCGTGGCGGAAGATAGCCCGATTGGCGCGTGCCATGCAGAGCAAGTGGGTTTCGTTATAACACGCGGGGATTTCCCACAAATTCGTAGGATATGCTTGCGCGCAGGCAGCCTAGCTGGGAGTGTGACGTGACTGCCATGTAACATGCACTATTCCCCATTTTCCTATACAGTAATGTTTTTCTCATTTTCCCGTTGCCCCACACTTCACTTCCTTGTCTAAGGATAGTCTTGATTCGATCGAAGATAAAAACTATTTAAGCCACCTGATGCATGATGTTGCATGACCTGGTGCATGATGTTGCATGACCTGATGCATGATGTTGCATGACCTGATGCATGATGTTGCATGACCTGATGCAT